TGTCTTTGATCTCCTTCTTGGAAGCCTATCCACATGTTTTTGGTAATAGGCCACCAGGGCTTTGGAGGTGGCCTGGCCGATTGCATAAGTCTGGGCCACGTGACCACCACCCTTCCCATGGACACAGCCAGCTCATTGTTCCTTGCCCAGAGGCAGAGCAGGCTCCAGTAGCTTGTGTTGCAGGGTGTGGTTGGATCGTGTTCAGGGAGCACCCATTCATCTAACGAGGCAGGTGCCCCATTTGCCATGTGCCAGGGCTCTGGCAGTTTTCTTGTGTCCTAAGACCTGCCCTAACTGCAGAGGACCCTCGGATGGCATGGCTGCAGGTGTACATGAGATATCCTCATTGTGAGGCGCTACAAGCAGAAAAAAAGTCCTATTTTATGTTTTGTTAGACATAAGAGCTGAGAAACATTGTTAATATAAATAAGTAGATGGTGATGGACATTTTGTTAAGTCTGTGTCACTCAGTTCTTTGAATTTCTATGTCATATGCCAAAAAAAACACACACATAGTGTGATTTACTGTAAAATTTAGTTGTAGTGATTTATCAGTTGATAATTCAGATTTTCCTTCAATTTTTTTGAAACTGAAGAATTGGAAAACACTTTATACTTGCATAAGAATTTGATAATCACTAGAGTCAGTCATTTTCACTACTGCCTCAACACTTATACCAGTATTTCCAGTTGCCCTTATATTTACTGCTTTAGGGATTTTGCCTCTCAGGGAAATATATCAAGGTAATAAGACACATAGGTTAGAGGACTATCTTTTGTGAAATGAAAAGGCATTGTTAAAAGGGAAAAGGAGAAGGTGAACTCCGTGACACAGGCAGAGCAGTGTTTGAAAGAATTATCTGTAGGAGTTGAAAATCTGATACCCTTAAAACCTGTCTATACCCATGCAACTCTTGCAAAATCTTTATGTACCCGCAGGGTGCTGAACTCTCTCTGCGATTTTGTATAAAATGCTTTTTACTACCTACCTTCAGATAGGAATCATTGAATAGCTTGGGACTTCTGTGTACTGTGATTAAATAAATGAAAAATGGGATTTGCCCTAAAACTCTTTTTTGAAAATGGCTTTATTTATTTAGTACTGGAATAAATATAGAATTAATATCAAATTCTTTAAAATTTGGTGACTTAGGAGGTTGGCTTCTCTTATAATTCCTTTTCTAAAATCTTTCCCAGGTCAATGAGTGGTCATTGAAGATAAGAAAGGAAATGAGAGTTGTTGACAGGCAAATAAGAGGTAAATTATCATTTTATGTCTCCTGTTCCCTCACTCCCTTAGTGTATTTTGCATTAGTTCATAAAAATAAGCTGCTTCAAAACATAGTTGATTCTTATATTATTTATAATTATTCTATTTTGCTTTCTAATAATTATAAGAAAAACTAATCCTAATGAACTCAAAGAAACTTCATATTTTGTTAGAACTAAATCTTTCTCTGGCCTGGAATTCAGCTATTCAAGGGAGAGGGGTCATGTTCATTCATTTCTGATTTTCTAGAGCTCAGTGTTGGAAACAAAGCAGGTGCTCACATACTGTGGTAGACAGAATAATGTCCTCCCAAAGATGTCCGTCCACATTTTAATCCCCACAGCCTGGGAATATGTTACCTTACGTGGCAAAAGGGAATGTGCAGATGTGATTAAATTAAGGCTCCTGAAGTGGGGAGATAATCCTGGGTTATCTGGGTGGGCCCAATTTAATCACCAAGTCCTTATAAGACGGAAGCAGTATGTTGAGGAAAGTGAGAGGAAAGATGTGAACACAGTACCAGCTATTGGAGTGATGTATTTTGAACATGGAGGAACAGGCCATGCGCCAAAGAACACAGTTGGCCTCTGGAAGCTAGAAAAGACAGGGAAGTGGCTTCTCCCATGAAGCTTCCAGAAGAAACACAGTCCTTTCAACACATTGATTTTTCAGGCTCCTAACCACCAGAATTATAGAAGAATAAATGTGTTGTTTTGAGCCATCTTATCTAATAAGAGAAACATGGAAATTGACTGTACCTCCGCTACACACAAGCCACGCCCACAAGCCAATCAGGAGCAACTATGCAAATAAACCCAACCAAGATGGCAGTGGCCACAGAGCTGGAGCAAACAGGGGGCTTGCGTTGCCCCAAGTTTCCCGCCTGCCCTGGCTGGCTGTGGGCTCCGCTCAAGGCTACAAAGTTTCAATTATAGAAGATAAACAAATCCCAGATACCTGCTTCCAGCCGCTGTGGCCTCCGCTCAAGGAGGGTCTGGAAGCCTGGGTTGACCGGGGCCGTGGCCAGCTTGCAAACAGCCATCAGCCCCTCACCCAGGCTGGCCAGGACCCCAGCGGGGCCCCCCACCCTGAAGGGGGTGTGACCAGCCTGAAAATGGCCCTCAGCCCCTCACCCAGGCTGGCCACACCCTCATGGGGTGAGGGTCCATGCTAGGGGCTTGGCCAGCCTGCAAACAGCCATCAGCTTCTCACCCAGGCTGGCCAGGCACCCCAGTGGGGACCCCTACCCTGAAGGGGGTGTGGCCAGCCTGCAAACAGCCATCAGCTTCTCACCCAGGCTGGCCAGGCACCCCAGTGGGGACCCCTACCCTGAAGGGGGTGTGGCCAGCCTGCAAACAGCCATCAGCTTCTCACCCAGGCTGGCCAGGCACCCCAGTGGGGACCCCTACCCTGAAGGGGGTGTGGCCAGCCTGCAAACAGCCATCAGCTTCTCACCCAGGCTGGCCAGGCACCCCAGTGGGGACCCCTACCCTGAAGGGGGTGTGGCCAGCCTGCAAACAGCCATCAGCTTCTCACCCAGGCTGGCCAGGCACCCCAGTGGGGACCCCTACCCTGAAGGGGGTGTGGCCAGCCTGCAAACAGCCATCAGCTTCTCACCCAGGCTGGCCAGGCACCCCAGTGGGGACCCCTACCCTGAAGGGGGTGTGGCCAGCCTGCAAACAGCCATCAGCTTCTCACCCAGGCTGGCCAGGCACCCCAGTGGGGACCCCTACCCTGAAGGGGGTGTGGCCAGCCTGCAAACAGCCATCAGCTTCTCACCCAGGCTGGCCAGGCACCCCAGTGGAGACCCCCACCCTGAAGGGGGTGTGACCAGCCTGAAAATGGCCCTCAGCCCCTCACCCAGGCTGGCCACACCCTCATGGGGTGAGGGTCCATGCTAGGGGCTTGGCCAGCCTGCAAACAGCCATCAGCTTCTCACCCAGGCTGGCCAGGCACCCCAGTGGGGACCCCTACCCTGAAGGGGGTGTGGCCAGCCTGCAAACAGCCATCAGCTTCTCACCCAGGCTGGCCAGGCACCCCAGTGGGGACCCCTACCCTGAAGGGTAAACCGGCAGTAGGACATCCTTTGAGGGGTCCCAGATTGGAGAGGGTGCAGGCCGGGCTGAGGAACACCTCCCTCCCCCATGCATGAATTTCGTGCACCAGGCCACTAGTTAATAATAAAGAACTAAAGAAAACTCTACTTATAAAGAAATTAGAGGCCTGGTGCACAAAATTCGTGCATGGGGGGGTGTCCCTCAGCCCAGCCTGCACCCTCTCCAATCTGAGACCCTCAAGGGATGTCCGACTGCCCGTCCTGGTGGGATCGGGCCTAAACGGGCAGTCGGACATGCCTCTCACAATCCAGGACTACTGCCTCCCAACTGCTTGCCTGCCTGCTTGCCTGATCATTCCCTAACCACTCCCCTGCCAGCCTGATCGACACCTAACTGCACCCCTGCCGGTCCAGTTGCCCCTAACTGCCCTCCACTGCCAGCCTGGTCACCTCTAACTGCCCTCCCCTGCCAGCCTGGTTGCCCCTAACTGCCCTCTCCTGCCAGCCTTGTCGACATCAACTGCCTTCCCCTGCAGGCCTGGTCCCTCCCAACTGCCCTCCCCTGCAGGCCTGGGTCCCTCCCAATTGTCCTCCCTTGCAGGCCTGGTCACCCCTAACTGCTCTCCCCTGCAGGCCTGGTCCCTCCCAACTGCCCTCCCCTGCAGGCCTGATCACCCACAACCACCCTCCCCTGCTGGCCATCTTGTGTGTTGGAGTGATGGTCAATTTGCACATTACCTCTTTATTAGATAGGATAATTTTATGGAATGCAAATTAAATAAACTGTTACATAAGTAAGGAATGCAATTCCATTTTCACTGCTCTAAGCATGGCTGTAAATTGAGGAAAATATATTTATAAGTAAATTGTTGTTGGGTACCACTTAAAATTAAGGTGACTTGCAAAGAGATAATGACATTTAAAACTTTTATGATTTTTAACACTTTCATGATTGGAGTAAAATTAATACCATAAAAATATCCCAATGTCACCTTCTTAAAAAAAGAATTGGAGAGGGGAATTTCATTCCCATCCACAATGGAGTGAGGGATTCAGACTTGCACTCTCATTGTAAATAAAGAACTGGACAAAGTCTATGAAACCCAAGTTTGCAAACATTGGACAACTGGCAATGCAGAATTTTGATCACTGAGAGAAGGGAAACAAAGGGAGAGAGCCCTAATATGTATGTCCCTGATTTTCTGCCTGGAGAAACTTTCTGGATCATACATAGTACGTGGAAGGGGATTCTAAACAGAGCATGGTGGTCTCACTGAGTTGGGGAAACAGAATGGGGATCAGGGAGGCTGCAGTGGCTGGACTTTGTGGGCCAGTGTATCAGAGAGAAGGGCATTGCCCAGATAAAGAGCCCCACACATCTACATGGGGTCTCATTGAGTCTCTGGCTGAATACTGTGCCCTGTATACTTAGAATGAGATTTCAAGTGGTTGGGCAAAGAACAATTACTGAGGACAGAACAAACTACTAGGAAGTTATAGGCTAAACAAGTCCCAGCACTAACGAGGAATTGAGAGATGGTAGACTTCTGATCCCACACAGTAATACCACCTTTTTGAACATCTGGTACAGTTAATAGAGACCCCAGAAGGGCTATGTCTTGATATTAAGGCTAAATAGCCCTAGATTAAAGGCCGCCATAAGTCCATAGCAACAGCTTAAATTCAAGTCTTGAAACCTGATCTGCAGGCAATTTAACTGTCTTCCAAATAAAGCTGCTCTTTACAAGAAGAACAAAAAATTTAGACACTTAGCAATTACTGGGAAGAAGCAGGACAGTGGGAATCAAAATCAGGAAATATAAATAGACTAAAAAAAAACACAATAATGATCGAAAGCAGACAAGAATTTAAGACAGCTTGATCCCCAGTGGGGGGCGTTCAGGAGGCAGCCAATCAATGATTCTCTCTCATCATTGATGCTTCGGTCTCTCTTTCCTTCTCCCTTTCTCTCTGAAATAAATAAAAAAAATATATAAAGTTAAAGAAAAGAAAAGAGCAAAGTGGAACTTCTAAAAATAAAAGATCCGAAATAAAAATAAAATTAAAATGTCACTGAATGGGTTTAATAAGCAGATTAGACACTATAGAAAACAAGATCAGTGAAATTGAAGATACCAATGCAAACTTTTAAAACTATAGTATAGAGAGGAAAAAAATTTTAAATATATTTTTATTGATTTCAGAGAGGAAAGGAGAGGGAGAGAGAGATAGAGGGAGAATCGTCGACCAGCTACCTCCTACAAACTGGGGACCAAGCCTGCAACCCAGGCATGTGCCCTGACCAGGAATCGTACCATGACCTGGTTCATAGGTTGATGCTCAACCATTGAGCTACACTGGCCAGGCGAGAGGAAAAAGTTTTTTTTAAAAAGAATGAACCTGTGGAACAATATCAAGTGGTCCAGCATGTAATTTGAGTCTCAGAAGGAGAAGAGTCAGATAAAATGATAACTGATGAATACTGCAAACACAGAGATACAAGCAATTCTTCAAACAGGATCAACACAAAACCATACCAAGGCATACCACAATTTAGATCATTCATGTTGCCTCTCTGAGATGAACACAGCCTGCACCCCCCCACCAACTATAAAGGAAATAATATACATATTGAGGCAGAAAAGTATAAATAAGAAAGTTAAAATCACCCTGAAATCCTATCAGCGGTTCTCAACCTGTGGGTCGCTGAAAATACATCCTGCATATCAGATATTTACATTACGATTCATAACAGTAGCAAAATTACAGTTATGAAGTAGCAACAAAAATAATTTTATGGCCGGGGGTCACCACAACATGAGGAACTGTATTAAAGGGTCGCGGCATTAGGAAGGTTGAGAACCACTGCGCCTAACCTTGGTTGCGGGCACATCCCCAGTAGGGGGTGTGCGGGAGGCAGCTGATCGATGTTTCTCTCTCATTGATGTTTCTAACTAACTATCTCTCTCCCTTCCTCTCTGTAAAAAAATCAATAAAATATATTTTTAAAAAAAATAATAATAATTTTATGGTTGGGGGTCACCACAACATGAAGAACTGTACTTAAGGGTCGCGGCATTAGGAAGGTTGAGAACCATTGAGAGAGAGCATGTTGATGATCATCCCTTCCAGATATATGTCTGTCTATAGTTGCAGTTATACACAAGCATTTGTTTATAAGTGGATTATAATATTCTTGTTGCTGCTTTATTTATTTCTTACAGTAAAATATACATAACATAAAATTGGCAATTTTAACTATTAAGTGTACAGTTCAGTAACATTAAGTCTATTCACATTGCTGTGTAACCATTAGCACTAATACATCCTGCATATCAGATATTTACATTACGATTCATAACAATAGCAAAATTACAGTTATGAAGTAGCAACAAAAATAATTTTATGGTTGGGGGTCACCACAACATGAGGAACTGTATTAAAGGGTCGCGGCATTAGGAAGATCAGAACTAATCTTTCATCCCATACTGAACTCTGTACCATTAAGCAGTAACTCTCCATTTCCCCCTCTCCCACATTCCCTGGTAATCACTGTTCTACCTTCTGTCTCTATAATTTGACTGTTATGTTACCTCATAAAAGTGGAATCAAACAATATTTTTCTTTGAATTTGTGTTATTTTATTTACCATAATGCTTTTAAGATTCATCCATGTAATAACATATATCAGAATTTCCTTTTAAAAACTGAATAATATTCTATTATATGTATGTACTTCATTTTGTTTATTGATCTATCAATGGACATCTGGGTTATTTCTACCTTTTGGCTGTTGTGAATATGCTGTTATGAACATGAGTGTACAATTATCTGTTTGAGTCCCTGCTTTAAATTCTTTTGTGTATATACCCCAGAAATGGGTCAAATAGTAATTCTGTATTTAAATTTTGAAAAACTGTAGTGTTTTCCACAGGACTGTACCATTTTACATTTTTAACATCCAGGACTAAGATTCAAAGCAACCACATAAAAAGAATATAGAAGAAAGTCACTGTGCATGCCCAGGGAAAGATGCAGACTTTGAAAAGACCTGAGAAGTCTAAGTGTACACCTCAAGCTGATTCTCAACACAGATATCCTATGACAATAAAAGTTTTAAAAATAGCAAATTCTGGGGAAGTGGTAGAATTTGATGATTCAAATGTCCCATTTTCAACAACAACAGCAAAAAATCACAAGGCATACAAAGAAACCTAAAGTATTGTCCATTCAACAGTAAGTAAATCAGCAGAAATTGTTCCTGAGAAAGACTAGATGACAGATTTACTAAACAAAGACTTTAACACAGCCATCTTAAAGAGGTATAAAGTAAGATGTGGACAAAATTAAGAAAAGTATGTATGAACAAAATGGGAATATCACTAAATGATAGAAAACATGAAAAGAAACCAAAAAGAAATGCAGCAGCTTAAAGGAATAATAATTGAAATGAAAAATTTGCTAGACTTAATTTTTTTTTAAATATGTTTTTATTGATTTCAGAGAGGAAGGAAGAGGGAGAGAAGGAAACATCAATGATGAGAGAGAATCATTGATCAGCTGCCTCCTGCATGCCCCACACTGGGGATTGAACGCACAACCTGGGCATGTGCCCTGACTGGGAATTGAACCATGACCTCTGGTTCATAGGTTGACACTCAACAACTGAGCCACACTGGCCGGGCAACTTTTACTTTTACTCTTAAATTACTTTAATGTTGTATCTGGAAGTAACAAATACCCATCACATTAATTAGCTTACTTTTGTTTATATTCTCCTAACTGTTTTCCTATTTAACAGACATATTTAGGTCACAATAAGAACAGATTTGAGAACCAATAATTAAGGGGTTTACCCTTAATTTTTTGTTGTTTTGCTTTAAATTTAGATATTCAAAGAGAAGAAGAAAAAGTGAAACGATCTGTGAAAGATGCTGCCAAGAAGGGTCAGAAAGACGTCTGTGTGGTCCTGGCCAAGGAAATGATCAGGTCAAGGAAGGCTGTAAGCAAGCTCTATGCATCCAGAGCTCACATGAACTCTGTACTCATGGGGATGAAGAACCAGCTGGGTAAGAAGGCCATTGCCTTACCACCACCTAGTCAAAACAAGAAGCGAGAAAAAGAGAAACATTTATTTGTTTCCTCCTGTATACCCCACAACTGGGATTGAACCCACAACCCAGGCATGTACCCCGACCAGGAATTGAACCTGCAACCTTTTGGTGCATGGGATGACGCTCCAACCAACTGAGCCACCTGGCCAGGGCTTTAATTTTTATTTTTTTATCATTGTCTTAGTTTGGGTGTTATATAAAATGCAAAATATTACTATCATTAGTTTTATTGTTACTTTTCTTTTTGCCAGTGTTGTTGAAGTAATGGCAGTCTGCACATAAAACTGCTTTGTTTAAAAGTTAGAATGTGCCTGGCTGACGTGGCTCAGTGGTTGAGCATCGACCTATGAACCAGGAGGTCACGGTTCGATTCCTGGTCAGGGCACATGCTTGGGTTTCGGGCTCAGCTCCTGGTAGCGGAAGTGCAGGAGGCAGCCAATCAGTGATTTTCTCTCATCATTGATGTGTCTATCTTTCCCTTTCTCTCTGAAATCAATAAAGATATATTTTTTAAAAAGTCAGAATGTATTTCCTCATGTGAACAGTGTTCTAGAGTGACCTGAGAGTTGAGTCATAGTTAAACTTTGCATCCAGTTGGTTTCTGTCCTTACTTAATTTCTGTTAAATGAAGACATCCTAATGCAGAACTATAGTTGCTCAGAATGTCAGCAAGTGACTGTCAGAAATTTATACTTAGTATGGGCTCAGAAATTATGGAGAAATTTTTCACTAAAGAGTATTGTCAACTCTCTGTCAGATACTACATTGTTGAGCACATCACACTCAAAAGTTAGAAGATTGAATTTTCATTTTAAAGGCTGGTTCCAAATTAGTACCTAATCCATTATTTGATTGTATTTAGCTATGAAGGTATTTCTTTACGTTCAGTTTTAATTTAACACTTGGATGTAGCTTTTAAATACTAGTATGTGTAATGACTACACCATCAGTTTCTTTCTCCAGATACTGACGAAAATAATCATGGGTTGGGAAAGAGTAAAAATATGACAAACTCTTTGTACCACATCTTTTTAACTTTTTTTTTTATTATTAAATATATTTTAGATTTTTTACGGAAACTCATTAACCGAGATACTTGCAAAGCCATGAAAAGAAAAGTTGCTCCTGTTTACCAGGTGTTCCTGTCTATTGTGTTTGAGCCATTGGATAATTGTAGGTCTATTTGTTATAGCAGCTAGTGTTACCCTGATGAATTTAAGCACTCATTTTTAGCTAGGCACCATTCTTTTTTTCTTTTTCTTTTTTTAAATATATTTTATTGATTTTTTACAGAGAGGAAGGGAGAGGGATAGAGAGTTAGAAACATCGATGAGAGAGAAACATCGATCAGCTGCCTCCTGCACACTCCCTACTGGGTATGTGCCCGCAACCAACGTACATGCCCTTGACCGGAATCGAACCAGAGACCCTTGAGTCCGCAGGCCAACGCTCTATCCACTGAGCCAAACCAGCCAGGGCCACATCTTTTTAACTTTTAAAAACTGTTATTTCAGCCCTAGAGTAATGTATTTAGGCACGTTCAATACTGGCTATATCACTTATCTCTATGCCTTTGAACAAACCAAGTGTTCAGTACCATGAAGAAATAGTTTAATCTTATGTCATTTTAAAAAATATATATTTTTATTGATTTCAGAGAGGAAGGGAGAGGGAGAGAGAGATAGAAACATCAATCAGTGATGAGAGAGAATCATCGATTGGCTGCCTCCTACAACCCCTTATTGGGGATTGAGCCCATAAACTAGGCATGTACCCTGGCCAGGAATTGAACTGTGACCTCCTGGTTTATAGGTC